GGGCCCAAACTGCAGCCTGGGATCAGAGTTAAAATTAAAAAATACATAAAAAATATACTAACTGATGCAAAATTATTTTAAGTGTGCCCATTGCAAACCAACAGCTTGGTAAAAGGAAACCACAACAGAACCCCAAACCCTGAAATCAACTCAAATATCTTCAATAACCCAAGTTCAGTAAGCACAAACCAGGAATCATTAAACTGTTTTGTCCCATTAGGGTTTAAATCACCGATAGAGTTTTGAGTTTGAATAAATGGACATTTTAAACAATGCATTTTTAATGTGGCAACATCTGTCAAATCTCTCCTATGCTTCTGCCTCTGGAACAGCTGCATCAATGCCCATTTTCCATGATTCTTCTCTACCAGCACATGTGCCTCCATGTGTGGGAGCAGAGAAATTCACTACAATCCACTCACCAGGATCTGGATCTTCAAGTTTCTCCTTAAGGCGAGGAAATGCAGGCCGGAGGGACTCGGGGTATTTCAGAAACACTTTGTACATGATCAGCACTGCCTTCTTCCTGATGTAAGGCTTTGTGTGGGACATCTGGGAAGGAAACAACTGCAGTCAGGCTCTGAGCAAAGCTGCAAAGCTGTGCTTCCAGAGCTCTTCTCAGGGCATTAGGCTCACACTGCTGCCTCCAGAGCTCTTTCCGGGAGACTCGACTACCATGAAAACTCAGCTTTGAGATAAGAAATAAATGTCATTTATCACACAAATTAACAACATTATTCAAGGTGATCCTCTTGAGCTAACCAAGGTCTGTAAATGCTCCCCAAAACATGAACAAAGCATCAGTTTTCACATGTATCACTTCTAAACTTCACATATATTTACCAAATTGGAATCATTTAACATTCTTTAATTACAGGGAAAAACTGTTTCAATCCTATCAACTCACCAAGGTCATGATGTCATTTGCCAAGTCCCTGGCAAGATCTGGAGTAACAAAACAGGACAAGCCAGTCAGTGCAACTCCAGTATCATACTGGTTAGGGCTACTCAGATCCTAAAAAAGATAAAAATAGGCTCAAAAATGTAAGATAACACAGGATGTAGAGAAATAATTTTCTCAGACCAATGTTATTCACTCAATACAAATTATTCAGAGCTTATACTTCACAGGAATATTTATATCACCTACTAACACCTGCTAGAATACAGTCAGCCTGGGGTTTAACAATGGGCACGAGGAACCATAATTAACCAAGAAAGGGATGGCTGCAACATAAAAGCAATTAGATATTACACCTTGGTGGTGTTATAGGAATGGAAGTAATTTTTAAATCCTCATTACATGATTGCAAAAATGTTTAGAGTCCTAATAACTGGCATTAGGCACTAACCCTGCTAGGTTAAAGCCCAACTGTCATCAGCTTCCCTGGGAACAGGCATTCTTGGTGAGTGCTTACCAGTGTCCCAGCTTAATCTAGCAGAGAAATGAGATTAATTTCCTCCCAGGAAGCACCACAATTTCCAGTCCATAAAGACATAACACAAGTTAGGGTGTGGAATACATGTTTTATTGGTCAAGTTTCCTCGGAGCTATTTGTAGTCAGTATCCTCCATAGCATTTCAGCTCCACTTAACCAATATTAATATTCATCTCTGAGGATGTTCAGCACAGATTACACACCCAGAACTCCCAGACCACTCTGGATCTCGGGACCACTCCTGAACTGCAGCTATTAGCAAACAAAAATATGAAGGGAGCTGCACAGAGCATTCCCACATGGATGCCAGAATTAACTGTCAGATTCACGTGGCCAGAGGCTGCTTCAGGAGAGCTAAACATAGCCAAGGCCTTCAGGGTTCTGTGCCATTTGCATCTCATTTTCAAACCTTCTGCAGGTTGGGAGAAATGAGATTCTACTTGAAGAATCATGAAATCTAGATCTTCAGAACAATAAACCTGTAATTCATTCTGGCTTTAATGCATTTTGAGAACCGATAAATCCTTAAAGTTGTTGGATCAATGAGACGTGAAAAGGTATAAAGAAAGATGCTTCAAAGTAAAAATTCAGGCACAAGAGGAAGAAGCAGCCAAGTAAGTGACTAAAATTCAGTAAAATGAAGCCTCTGCAATAAATAAAATGGATGGACATGCACATTCAGAGCAGAATAGTTTAAAAGATAAAGGGAAAGGCACTCGTTCTTGAGGGAAAACACTGAATAACATCCCACTGATCTTTTTTAAGCAAGTAAAAGACATTTTGCCTCAGATGGTAAGGCACATCTTGTACTGGATCAGTCAAGTTTTAAAGCAGTGATACTCTTAAAAATTAAACTTAAGAGCTTTAAAACTACATCTATGATCTGAGGAATGGGAAAATTATGCTGTAACCCAATAACTCTGAAAAAAAAAAAATCAAGCACTAAAACTCTCTGAAAATGAATACAACACACTTCAGTACCTGAATGCATAATACAACTTTATGGACACTCTTCATTTTCACACCCAATTGCACCAGAGGAGTCAAAGTCTGATCTGTTGTTACAGAATAAAACAGCCTTCACAAATAGAACTTTTGCGGAGCCAGGTGAGGGCTCATTTTCCTTCAGGAATGGGGACATTATCCCTACCCATTACACTCTTTTAAGGTCACAGAGACCAGGATCATTAACAAAGTTCCTGCTGTCACCATTCTCTGTGCTGGGATGAGACAGCACAAGGGAGGCCTGGGGACAGCCAAGGGTTTCATTAATCCTTCAGCTTGGGGAATGAGAGTAAATTAAACCACATAAATAGAAATCTCTTTAAAGACGTTTAGATTCCTAAAAGAGAAATACTTGGTACAGATGTGAAAATAAAAGTAGGGAGAGAGTACAAGAGAAAATGAAGAATTGAAGTTGAAAGTTTACCTTCCGGATCTGATTAGTTGTCAACATAATGACATCAGTCCCTTCATGAAAGCACTGGGAGGCAGCAAGGTAACCAATCCTCTGGGAAAGGCAAAAAGGAAAGCACGATTCTGTTTAAAGTTTAGACAGTATGTAGATAAATAACAACTGGAAGCTTTACAAGCAATATTAAAGAGATGGACAATTAGGTTTGCATACCAGAAGAGGCATGACAGGGTCTCTAGGGAAGGGAGTTGTATCAGGAAAGAACAAACTCAGACAAGTAGCATCTCTAGTGAAAATACATCTGTCTTAGGGATAATAAAATCACCTTCACCTTCTCTCCCGTGCTACAACACACAGGTTCAATAACCATGAAGTAGAAATCAGGTAGGATTGTCTACTACATTTATTTTGTGTTGACTCCTGACTTTCAGGTACTTATGCTCAAACTGGAAACTATTCCTTAGGAAGCAACATTCCACCTTGTTTGGTGAAAAAGGTCTGAACCAGAGCAAGAAACAAATCTTTCCAGAAAAACTATAAAGCTATTACAGATGAAAGATGTATCTGGTACTAGGCAGGTGGCCTTCCCATGGAAATACCTTGTTTTTTCACTAAAGGTATCTGACAGCTGTTGTCAGGCCAAGAATTACCCTCAGACTACAAACACACAGAGTGATGAACCAGCCTGGACAGGACAGCTGCAGTACCCCAGAGAACTCACTTTGAATGTAAACTTGGATGCACTCATGACTTCAATGATGTTGAAAGCAGCCCAGCTGATGTCATAGCCCAGCATCTGCAACTGTGGGCAGAGAAAACAAACTTCTGAAATAAGAGACTCAACGAAATAGGTCAAAATACCTCACAAAATTCAAGATGCAACAAGAGTTCAAAAATAATACTATAATGTCTTATAGTATATAGTATACTCAATCTTATGAGTAATGTTGCATTTTATGCCACTCACAGGAAGTGAAACACATCTTTAAGTTCCACCAGAAACAAGTTTTAAATGGTTTGCACTAAATCTAGATAACACTTAGAGGCTGTGGCTGCTCCATCCCTGGGAGTGTTCCAGGCCAGGCTGGACAGGGCTTGGAGCTACCTGGGCTAGTGGGAGGTGTCCCTGCTCATGGCAAGGGGTGGAGTGAGATGAGCTTTAAAGTCCTTCCAACCCAAACCACTCTGGGATTTTATGGCATGCAGTTCTATAAGGATTGTTGTTTGCTTCCTGGATTGTTTTTAAATAAAAAACCAGAACAGAACCACAAACAGATTTCTTTTACCAGTGTTTCTCTCCTTTCCTTGTTGACAAGAGACTGACTGAGCAAAGAGAAACAAATCCAGTTTCAAATGCTCATGGCACTTAGTCATAAGAAACAATCCAGTTGAAAATAACTTTTTAAAAATTGTTTGTTTGATTCACTTCCTGATGTATCACACCAAAATACAGTTGTATTTTATATACAGAACAGAATGGGAACCTGCAGCCTCTGACTTCAGATGTGGGAGTGTTTTCCCCTCCAGCTGCACTTACAGCAGAACAAGGAAAGCAGGAGCTCAGACCCAAGAGTGGCTCCTGGTCAGCACGAGATAACAACACAGAGCTGCAGTCCCAGCAAGGCACTCACATATGTCAGCTTGCAGACTGCGTTCGCCTTCACCGCAATGTTGTCCTGCTTCAGCTCCTGCTTGATCTCATCGATGCACTGAGAGATGTATTTTGCCTGAGGAAAACAAACAAACAAACAGGAATGTATACTTCTGTACCAGTTCTGGAGATTTCCAGCATCTTAGTGGGGAGAACGCAGCACCTGCAAGCACCAAATCTCACACACACCATTTAGTCAGCACTTAATTCTGATGAAACCACTCAATAACAAGAACCATCACAACCCTTTACACAGCCAAAAGGACACTGAGATGTTTCTGGTGGTTTCCCTTCTCCTCCCTCTCCCTCACAATTACATTGTTCAGTCCAGAGTTCTAGATTCAAGAATTTGCCAAAATGAAGCTGTTCCATGAAGGTCTGAGCAAACCTGAGTTCAGCGTTCCTAGAAAGCTCACCTATCACTCACCCCAGTGGGATGCACAGAACACCCACTCATGATGTGTCCAGACAGAACTGTCAAATGCTGTTAAGAGCCCTCAAATTTAAGGTGACTGATTAAAGTACCATGAGATACTCTTTTGGGCACACTGCAAATGACAGCACTGCAGGTGTGCACCCACAACAGCCCCCGTGCCTAGAGGCACCAGCAAAAGTCTCCTCCTGGACACAGAGGCTTCCTGCCATCCCCAAGCCACGGAAGGTCCAGGCCAAGTCACAGAATCAATCAGGTAGGAAAAGGCCTCTGAGATCATCAAGCCCAACCCATGACCTAACACCACCATCTCAACCAGACCATGGCGCTAAGTGCCACGTCCACCCTCTTCTCAAACCAGCCCTGAACCCCCTCCGTGGTTCTCCTCTTAGATGAGCCATTTTGCCTTTTACACATCTTGCTGAATAACAGTTATTTGTATGAATCTCTCAGCAATTCAGAGAGCCAAATGTCACAATGTTTACATTTAAATATTGGTCCTTCATGTCTCTCCAAACAACCACATCTGTGCTTGTGGGAAGGATGTGGCAAATGCATGATTCATAAAGGAAAATCTGTACAGATATTTTTATGTAGGGTTAGCTCAGCCAGATATTCTTCCAGGTCATAATTAACTGTGATTTAAGAACTGAAAGTATCTGCTGCAGAAATCATGAAAATTTAAATGCAGAGAAATAATGTCTCTTTGGAAAGCTGCACATGCACCAGGGCATTTCACATTCCATATAATAAATCAGCTGTCAGAGGAATCAGGTCAGAAACAGATTCCCTAATTGCCAAATAAAATCCTGTTTGAATACCATGACCTTACACAGAAAGATGTTTTCAACATAGAAGTTGAATGGCCTGTCTCTAATTAACCTTTCTCCCCTTTACATGAAATGTGGGCTCAGCACACCTTCGGCAAGTTTGCCAACACTGACCCATATGGTGTGTCACACGCTGGAGGGAAGGGATGGCATGCACAGGGACCTGGACAGGCTGGAGAGATGGGATTGTGCCAGCCTCAGCAAGTTCAAGGTCTCTGCAATCCCAAGCCAAGACTGGATTGGAAGCAGCCCTGAGGCAAGAGACTTTGGAAACCAATCATATGCTGGGATCATCCCCACAGCATAGGCAGCAGGTGAAGGGATTCTGCCCCTCTGCTCTGCTCAGGTGAGACCCAATCTGTACTGCTGCCTCCGGCTCTGTGGGGCAGCATCAGAGTGATGCTGGAGCTGCTGGAACAAGTCCAGAGAAGGCCATGGAGATGTTCTGAGGACTGAAGTATCTCTGCTCTGGAGGCTGAGAGACTTGGGATTGTTCAGTGGGCAAATGAATTTATTCAAGAAGTTGTTCCTAGATGCCTGTATTTGGCATAGAAATACTATCTCTGCAATGGGAATTTCCATGTTAAGGGAGGGCACTGCAAGCACTCCTTTCCTCTACAGATTCCCATCTGCCCTCCTGGATACAGGTGAGTGGATCACACCTGCCAAACCAGAGGTCGCACTGTCCTCAAATGCTTAACAAAGTAGTGCCCAGGTGGCTTTACCCAGAAGCAGAAGATTTGGGATTCTAAACCCTTTACCTAAGAGTGATTCAGGTCCAGACAGCTCCCAGGAGAAGCTTAAACTCTGGAGTATAAACGAAAAAAACTTGAGAGCAGGGAATAAATACTCGATCAAGGATGCTGAAAGAGTGACTTACATAACATGCAACTGATCCACAAATACACTGTCACGGGCCTTGAATATTTTATGCTCACATAAGAGCACACTGGAACAGTGTCACAGAATCCTTCACATGTGGATCTTGTTGCCACATCTTGGGCAACAAAGTCAGCACTGGAACTCAGGGCACAACACTGATGCAGAGCTCTCAGGCTTTATGTCCATAATCAGAAGGCCTCATTGTCATTCCCCACTGCATCTACCCCCAAACTAGTCAAACATCAGCTTAAGTCTCTTGGCAATTGTTTAGAGTTGAAAACAAACCACTGTGTGAGCAGGAGGGGGGAAAATAAAGATAGAGCACAGAAAAGTTAAGTAGTGTCCAGCCTAGCACTCAGCCAGCAGCCCCAGCATCCCTCAGGCAAATCGCTGCCTGCCGCTCAGTCCAACTTCTGGAAGAGTGTATTACAGAACTCAGAATCAGATCTTCAGCTAAAATAAAAGGGATTATGAAGCGCAGAAAGAAGTCCTTCCAAAACAGCTGAACTTCAAATCCCAAAACACTCCAAGGAATGAAAGACCCTATATATAGAAAGCTTTAAAGGATCAGGAGGTATTAACTTTTTGTTAATCTCATGAAGCTGCACTGCCATGAATGAGCAATATGAGGAAAACTGATCTATTTAGTCTTAAACTTCAGTATGAAACCCAAGCACCATGCCCAGGCGGATTCCCTGCCACATCCAATACTCAGGGATCGGGACTGAGGCCCTGCCCTGGAATCACTGACCTGGGCAAAGCACTAGAGCTGCACCAAAGCACTTCCACACTGATCCACACCTTCACGCCCCATACTGCTGCCTGCAAGGTGCCCAGGCCACACAGTGAAAGTGCTCCAGCACTGCCTAGGTCACCACTGAACCATGTCCCCAAGTGCCACATCCACACACCTGAACACTCCCAAGGATGATGATGGTACCACTGCCCTGAGCAGTAATGCCTGACCACCCTTTCAGGGAAGAAATTTTCCCTTATATCCAACCTAAACCTCCCCTGGCATAGCTTGAGGCTTTCCTCTTTCTGTCATTAGTTCCCTGGGAGTGGAGCCTGATCCCACCTGGCTGCACCTCCTGCCAGGGAGGTGTGGAGAGAGAGAGAAGGTCCCCCCGAGCCTCCTTTTCTCCAGGCTGAGCCCCCCCACTCGCTCAGCCTCTCCTTGTGCTCTGGCCCCTTCCCCAGCTCCATTCCCTTCCCTGGACACACTCCGGCCCCTCACAATGTCTCTCTTGTCCTGATGGGCCTAGAACTGCCCCCAGGATTGGAGGTCCCTTACCAGTGCTCAGTGTTCATTTATGCTCACAGTATTCATTCCAATATCAAACTATTTCTTAACTATTAATTCCTCACTAACTCCATGACACATTGCTCACACATCTTGGCCAGGAGGCTGAGGAGAACCTCCAAGTCACAACATTCACGGCCCTTTGGAGGAGCACAGGCAGCCAGCTCTGAGCAAGGCAGTTCCAAGGTGGCCTCTCAGCCCGGAGGGGCCAGAGGAGGCAGAGCCATGAGGCACAAGGATGAGGACAGCAGCAGGGGCAGAGCTGCAGGGCTGCAGGCTAGGCTGAAGGGCACATGACAGCAGAGAGGAAGGAGCTGAGAGGAGCTTTTATTCTTGCTTGGTTGCCAAGTGGTAAAGGAGCCTTTCCCGACTCGGCTTCTTAATGAAATGCTATAGCAACCACTGGGGTAATTGTTCTCTCTCCTATCACTCCAAAGGAGAAGGATTACAGGAACATGCCTGGAGCAGCCCAGCTAAAAGCCAAGCACAGTGTACACACGGGAGCAGTGATTACTCAACAGCACTGTGAATACAACACAGCCACAACTGCATCTCTCAGTGTATGTCACCAAAGAGGTGCTGTAAGCATTTTATACCCATTAACGAAATGCAGTGGCTTGGTTTTAAAAGAACCCCAAATTCCTCAAGAATTCCAAGATCTCACCTAGAAAATATGCCCATTTAAATGTGTGAGTGGCTAAAGTAAGAGTGAAGGTATCATGAATCAGAGATACAATCCCTCTTAAAGGGAGAGGGAAGGAAAAGTGGGTCATGGTAACAAGCCAAAATGTCACTTTATAGGATTTTTCACTTCCTAAGCCATGTTTTAGAATTAATTTTGAAAAATACAAACTTCATTCCAAGCTCTGGCCAAAACATTAGGGGTTTGCTGACAATTTCTGAGACATTCAAAAGAAACAAAAATAAGTCTTTTCACGAAAGACCAATTTTTTTTCAAGCAATATGTGAATGAAGTTGAAAAATCAGTAACCTGAACAACAAACAAATCCCTAGAAAATATTACTCTCCATGTTGTACTTTCATCAGCTGATGGGAAGACACTAGTGATTGGAATGGAGATCACTGCAGAACCATCGTATTTCTGAGAAACAGGATATTTCTAATTCTCAGCTACTCTCTTCCAGTGATCTCCAAGAAGCTATAAGCCACCTTCCAACCCAAGGGAAGGCAACACCTCTAACAATAGGAGTTGTTGTTGTACTTAGGGTTAGGTTTGAGATACAAACTTGTCACTGCAACAGCCAAGTGCTTCCCATCCAGATGGAACAGCAAAATGTCAGTGAACATTAGGATAATAAGGATTTCTCTTGCACTTTCACGGTTAAATACAGTGTGTTAATGAAAGGATTAACAGTGAATGTCACAAGGAACAAGATATGATCTGATATAAATCATAGAATGTTAAGGGGCTGGAATGTACCTTGAAGATCACCTAGTACCAAGCCCCTGCCCTGGTTGCACCAGACCAGGTGCTTAAGGCTTTTATCCAACCTGGCTTTTAACACTGCCAGGGCTGGGGCAGCCACAGCCTGCCTGGGCAACCTCTGCCAGTGTCTCACCACTCTCACAGCAAAAAAAGCTTCTTCCTAATATCTAATCTAAATTTC